TCTACTACCGTAACACAATCCAACAAGGATTAAAGTCCACTGTAAGAAACACTTTTAGAAACTTTTTATTATTATCTTTGATACAACTTACCAGTTTTCGTCTAAACCTAGATCTCACAAAGAACTACTGTTCCCTAAAATGTAAATATATAGCGTGTACATTAATGCGTGCACACACATGCATGAACGTCATATGACATTTCTTTTGTCTCACTGAAATAACATATCAAGCCAAAATATTTATCTATCCGAAGTACAGCTATGGTCTCAACAGTCTCACGTGGATTAAAATAAATCAAATGCCATAACTAGTGTGCTTCCCCCTGACTGCCACCAAATTATACAAAATATTATATATTGACATCGACTCACTCACTGGAGCATATTGCCTGAAATTAGGAATGTTATGCGCATTAATTTTTTCTACTGACAAGGGACTACTGAACTGAGAGTTCTTGTTTCAGTCTAGTATTACAACATTGTTGCATAAAGCGTTTTGCTTTCAAGCCAAGAATTCCCCACAAACCATTAATCTAAGATGTTCTATTCATTATCATCTGAAGTTATTTTTTTCTAAAATATGTAGCTCAGAAACTGCTGACACACTACTTGAAATCGGTTTTTAAGTGTATCACATAACTCTCTGGCTAAGGCTAACTGAAAACTAATTAAAATCATTAAGATGATGATTTGAACAAGAACAGGAAAAAACTGTCTAGATGAAATTATGAGGAAAAATTAGATACCACTTGACTGAATCGTGCCCTTAGACACACCGCTTCTCATTTGCAAAAAATGAGCATTTCTTTCCCTCTCAAAGGGGTTTTTGACCTTTTAAGGCACCAATAGCCACAACCCTCCTCAGACTAACTCGTTCATCTTCTGACCCAAGACTCCCAAAGCATATTTCACTTCCTTTATGGGCAGAAATAAAACTCCCTAAACACTAAATATAATTTATTACTGAATTTAATATCTTTTTACTTGATCATCAGAACATTATTTTAGTATTCTGATAAAAGGCAGGAAGACAAATAAGAAACAAGTTGTATGACATCTGATAAATAAAATTACATATATATAATTTTCACTCCATAAAAATACCAGTCCCAAGTCTGAACTCTTGCCCCTGGGAAAAAAAAACAAACAAAAAATTCTTCAAACCTATGGTAATCACAGAAAAGAACATAGATTTGAATCTCTTCTATCTGCCAAGAAGACTGAAGAACATATAGTGACAATTGCTTTCACAAAATCCAAAGTGCAGAGAGTAATGAATAAAATTTGGAATAGAAAGAGAATTTCCAGTGGCGTGATTGAGAAAAGAATGTATAGCTTGTACTGCAAGCCAAGATGACTGTGTGTTAGCTCCAACTTGATAAACAGTATCAAGCACTAATGAAATAGTTGAGAAAATTTTTAGCAGGGTGTGCCAAGACCATTGGACAAGAGCCAGTTTGAAAAGGAATTTGCAAGAATCTCCTTTATCTGGGGTGATGAACTCAATCTAGCATGACAACCCAAGTGCTGGGGCTGAGGCGAACTGAACATTTCTCTTCAAGCTGGGAGTCCTACCTTTGCCAGAGGAAGCGAAGTGCTGAAGGAAAAGGCACTTCAGTTCAACCATCAACCTCAGATATGATGTTGTCCACAACACATGGCAACATTGATAAATCTACAGTGAAGACCGGTGAGAGCATTTTTACAAGTGAATGATATATCGGGCTGATTAGTGCATATCATACATTATGCATTTATTAGTCCACTAGTGATCACAGAATCATAGAATCACAGAAAGTTTTGGGTTGGAAGGGACCCCTAGAGGTCATCTAGTCCAACCCCCCTGCAGTGAGCAGGGACACCGCTAACTAGATCAGGTTGCTCAGAGCCCCATCCAACCTGGCCTTGAATGTTTCCATACGTTCAGGTTTTCTATATAAAGTCACTTCTGAAGATTCATATGGTTTTCTGTCTTAATTCCCTTATCCAAAAATAAGGGAGAAACGTTTTCTTGGGAAGAACAACTATTAAAATACATTTTACACAAATGTCGAAGTACATTATGGGTGCTTTAAAGAACTAATTGAAATGGATGTGGAACACCAGGACATTCATCTACAATGCTTTTAAGTGTTCTGGATATATTTATACTAAATTACAAGGCTAATGCAGAAGTAGTCCTATGATGCTACAACCAGTGATTTTATGAAGTGGTCTTTTTGTTTTGGCTCCTTTTAGGTGACAATAGTCACAGGAGGCTCAGTCTTTAAAAGCCAAAGAAGATGCTGAGCTGGGCTGCAGGCAATCATCCCCCAGGAGACGGAGATCAGTACATGGGGGGAACTCTTAACATGCCTAGATAAAAATGTGAAAAAAGAATAATTGATAAATTTTACGCTAATGAATAGTTTAAAACCAGTGGTTAGATTTTACATATTTGTGTGGGTGAAGTGGTAAAGGAATGACCAGAGTAAGTTTATAGTTCAATAGAATGCAAGGGTTGTTGCTATGGAATTAGGTCCAACCATACGCAGTACACAAAGTACATTAAATAATAGTATCACAACTGCCTTTCAAACACAACAGGCACAACATCCCGGAGGCCCTTTGTTTCGGGATAATTCTGCCTCTTCTCTCACCTCTTTTTCGCTCTCCATTTCTTTTCAGAACAGATTTTGATAAATATCTCTTTCAACGAAAATGCTTAAGGCCATCTTTGTTTTATCTCTTATTATTCCCTCTTCCTCTGAGTCTTCCTCAGTAGTCCTGTCTACCTCTTTTTACTATTACTTCATATTCATTTTCATGACATCATTCTGTTTTCTTTCTGCCTTCCCTGGTGACACCATGTTTCTATTTCTAACCTTCATGTTCCCCACACAACGAAAGGAAACCTTTGCTTTACAAAACACCCCTCACAAAAATCACTTGGAAGATCTGACTATTGCAATTAACAAACAGGTTTAGACAAAGTAGCATTCTAACAATAGCACTGTCAAGAAATGCTGAATAAACACGTAAGCGAATGTCGAAAAAAATAAAACAAGATAAAACACCAACCAGATGGCATCCCTTGACCTGAGGAGGGCTTTATCGGTGCGTTCACCTGGTCCCAGTTAAGATCATCATCATCTGACTGACTATAGCCACAGGAACTGAGAGGCTCATCGAAAGTACAGCACCCTGTAAAATAAACACAGAGATCAAAATTAAACAAGGCATGCAGACAACAGGTAATGAATCTTGAATCCTAACAACCGCAACACGATTCCACGCAGGCTGTGTAATTTTTAAATGTCTTTTAATACAAACGATTATATATCTATTAATCATCACTTTCTGAGAGGGCATAAAACCTTCTTGTCATGAAAACAAAATCCCAAGGGTAAAAGAGCAGATTTAGAACTTCAGACAAATTTTCCCCTATGACACAGTCATCAGCTATCAGAAACCAGCCAGCGAAACAAAAAGCAGTAAAACTCAGAATGTCAAAAGACTGAACATGATTAGCATTTTTCAAGAAAAACAAAAATAAAAAATTATTCCATGCCCGAGAGCCTACACTTTAGAAGAAGACTGTAAGTGTGGGAACATCAGCTCCCATTCCTGTATCTTGGTTTCCAAGTAAGGGAAGGCCTAGATGCTCCCAGGTGTGCTGCGTTACAAACCGGTACCGGCCTGGGGGTTTGGTGGGATCAGCACCTCTGATACACCACAGCACACCTATCTCAAAATGCCGATCTATGCGCAGCCTCAAACTCTCTGAAAGAAAACAATATTACTTCCTCTCTTTTTCCATTCTCTTCTAAGTAATTTAGAAAAGAAAAACATGTTACAAAAGCTCACGCTATCCCAAGCTGGGGCAGGGAAAAATCTAACGTCACAAATTTAGAAGAATGGAATCTAACGTTGTCTACGGGAAAATGGAAAAGCTTTGTTTTCTCCCATAGCCAGAGGAAACTTTTCCAGCTTTTTACATCGTTCTGTTCTAACAGGAGACTAACACAGGGTTACAAAATTCTGTGTTCTTTGATGTTTTATGTTTCACTCCAGTGAAGAATGACATCTTTCCTATTCAGGAAAACAAATATAACCCTAGTCATGGATATTTCAGTCCATAGTAAAGTAAACCCTGCAGCTGTTCAAACAAAACTAAACTTTAGGGCTATTCGTCATCTTTGCTATCTATCCATAGGCACAGTAGGCTTAGCCTTGCCAAGCTGTATTAAAATGGGAAACAGAAAATCTAGCTTAAAGAAAAGACTTTAAAAATCTAAATTTTCCTATTATAAGTGGCATTACAGAATACCTTACCAAAAAGTAGGATAACAGAAGACGAAATTTCATTATACCTGACAAGCTTCACCTAACTGAAGTCCAGCCTTCCTAACAGCTACTCCCAGTTTACATTTGAGATTCATGACAAGCACTTTGCGAGTATATGATCTTCAAAAGAAATTAATTTTATATGCAGTCACCAAACAATTTAATTTTGTGTTTTCTTACAATGCCATTGTCTTTATAGACATATCATGCTTGCCCTGCCCTTGGATACAGGTCATCCAATACTGTTCTCTGTTCTAAAATATCTTTCTATAGGAAGTCTTCGCTAGCGCCAGGTGTACCGGGGAAATTAGCACCTCTGGACATTGCATCTTTCTGTACAGTTTTAAGTGCACGAGATTCAATTAGATAATCCAGCGGGTACAGAAAACCCATCAAAGAACTTGCAACTCCAAACTCTACCTCAACAATAACAACAGATACAAATTATCTCTCCCCTACAGTTAAACAAATTCAGAAACACAAGGGATTTGTATAAAGTATATCAAATAACATCTGCAGCATCTCCAGCAGGAAGGCTTAGAAAATTAGGCAGCCATTTACACATTTGTTCTAGCCCTTGCCTAAATATTACTTCAAAATTCATAAAATACACCACAAGCAAAGTTTCAGACAGAAAACCAAAACATGAGCTTTCACAGACTTATTTGTGCTTTTTTATTAAGAATAAGAAAACCTAAACCACAGGTGACGCAAAAGGTAGTGTCCTTGCAAAGGTACTGCAAATGATACTGGGAGATAAATTTAATTATCTTGGCAAAAAATATACATCGAAATAAAACCTGGCATAAATCAGGGTTTAAAATTCAAACACAGGACTAATGAATGCACAGAATAGCTCCCATGCCTCATTACATATCTCTAGCAATAAGAAGACATAGACAAGTTTAAGATGTTTTCTTGCTCAAACTCAGAAGCACGGCCAAGCTCTGCAAAATGTCCAATACTGGAAAAAAAGGAAGAGTTTGTGATTCCAGATGGTTAGTAAAGGCTTCTTCCCTTCTCACTAGTTAGGAAGATGTCAAAAACATGGCTAAATGGAACAACAGTTCTATTGTCTAGACCATTTGTCTGTCAACACAGGACCATTTCTCACTGCTTGTTTTTCTTCATTTCTCTTGCGAGCCTGTAGCCAAATCACTCTGCCACTTTCATTTTTTTTCTTTTACCTCTGCCATTTACATCCTTCAAACCTTTGTGAATTTACTATCTTACAACTTCCTTAAAATGGGTATCCAATCTTCGCATCTACTACAGGAAGAGTTTAAAAGGAACTTTTGAACTCCTTCTATTCCTAAGCCACTTCCACCCAGAACTAATAACCAAACCGTAGCAAGTATTACTATGCGTAATCAAACTGTACAGGCACCTACCCAGAGAATTGGCCAGCATAAGTAAGTTCTTTAACAGCACAGATGCCAAGCCGTGCTTCTTTCTACAGCCAGCCACTAAGGATAAGATGAATACTAATGAGGGCTTTGCACAGCCATGACTTTTTAGAAAGTTTTTTGTAGATTAAAATAGCATAACATGGCATGTGTGGGTGTTGGAAGTATAGGCAAGTTTATAAACTGAGAATAACACAAAACATCTTACTGGAGCAACAACAACAAAATCTTAGCCAAATTAGCCAAGTAACAATTAATGTAAATCAAGAGTCATCGACAGTCCTAATGGCTTATGACTGCTCCCCAAAGTTCCAACCCTCATATCCAAGGGTCATCTATTACAAATAGATGAAGTTGTTTAGAAACAGGTCATGACATTTCACAAAACCCTACATTCGCATCCACTCAAGCCCTCCTGCCTTCTTCTGCAGTGCTTCGCCTGTTTTCCAGTCACGATGCTCTTACTGTACAAGGTTCCCACTTCATAAAAAGTTATCCACCTATAGCATAAACAAGGGCTAGTAAAATCTGAAAATCTATCAGTGGTCTTTAATGTCCCTCATCGTTGCACTGGTTCGAAACACGAGCCACTGCCAAGATAGGCAGTTTTTTATAATCAACTAGCACACTTGAGAAATTCTGCCCATTTTTGCTATTAGAATTTATAATAACAATCAAAATACATGTTGTCTGCTATATAGTTTAATCAAGCAAAGCAATTTCCCCGACTGTTATACTGGCATTACACTTAAGACAGCCAAACTGTATTTTAAAGGATGAATTCTGTGCTGACTGAAATATTTATAAGTAAAACAGGAGATACATATCCCATTAAGATTCTTTGGCTTATGCTATGTTTTATAGATATTTTTGGATTCCTAAGAGGAACTGAATTTGGCTTATGCTACATTTTATAGATATTTTCGGATTCCTGAGAGGAACTGAATTGACAAATGCACAAGACGCAACACAGTCTATTACAGCCCACAGTTCTTTCAACTGCAATTATCCATTTAACCATCATGAATCCAGTTCAATGTAACTATGCCATTGTCCAAATGTAGTCCTTTTTGCACATTTCTATTTTTATTTGGTTAAATTACTTTAGATCTTGAAAAATTTATGAGCTTAAATGAGGAATATAATTTAAGATGAAAGCAACCAATTAGAGTAAATGGGATAAAGAAAACACTGTATTTTTTCCTAATGTGAATAAAGTTTTATTCAAAGTATTTTGTGTGTTACAGACTACAGCTACAACATCTGTTACGAAGTATTCTCCAAGAATACCTTATCAAAAAGTAGGACAATAGAAGACACAAACCGTTTAAGTGACAAAAACTAACATAGAAAAAAGTTCAAATTATGCTGAACACTGCTTTATTTTTGTTGGTCTTACATACCGCAAAGACCTCAGATCAGTATGTACTTTCTATCAAAAATTCACTGCCAAATGTACAAGTGCTAAAGCTTGTAATGCTTATGAATATCAATGCTAGCATTGCAGGGAACTTACGTGCATACTAGAGCTGATACAAGGGCCCTGCTTTGGAACATAACACATTTTTTCTTTACAGCAAAACGCTGGGGTTTCTGGTCTGCCATAGTACCATGAATTCTGTTGCAGCACAGGTGAACGCAGATGATGAGTTTACCGAATCCCACATTTTATTAGTAGTCGTCTTTATCTCGCTTTAAAAGTATTCTAAATTCTGTTGTCTCTATATTTTCAGTTTCATACTGGAATGTGTTTACGTTGATTAAATCTAAGGACAATGTAGCTATTCTTTGAAACAGAAATAAAGGGTTTGATATCTGATCTGAAAGCTGGGTGTCTAAATCACCAGTGCAGTATCAGGAGGCTTTGACAATGCAGTGAAAGATTAGTCTCCTATTAGGCAATGGATCTTGTCCTTCTGTCTATTAAAAAAAGAAAGGGAGCCTCTGCCCAAACCAAGAATATACCATTCCTCAGCCAGCCGCGTTCCCTCCTGTCCTCCTGAACATCCCTGCATCCAACAGCAATGGACCAAGCCCATTGCCTGGACAACACACCAAGGCAAATGAAAAGTGAAATACCCGAAAACTGTGACAAACTGCAGTGGCTGAGCTTGACTAGACCGTGAACGAGTCAGCTTTCATCCCCAAGGGTTACTGCTCAGGACGATGAGGCAGCATTACCGTACTGCCTTGGGCTTCCTTTTATATATAGTTATAGATTTCGGGGCAATCATCCTATCTAGACACTCTCATGACAATTAGAAAATGATCTAAGAAACACAGCATTAGGAAAATGGGATCCTGAGCCTCTAAGCTGGCAAACCACCAAATCGAAGAATAAACAACTACTCGTTTGGGGGCAGGTAAGAAGTCAAGAAGTGGAAAATAAAAAGCCATTCTCAGTTATCAACTGGCTAACAGAGAGAGCAGAAGCGGGAAGCAACAGACAATTTTTATCATGAAAAAATTAAAATGCAGTCTGTAAACCTGTGCGACAGGCCTGGTCTGCTGTATCACTTTTATTAAAGATAGGGTGACGACAGAAATTGCCTAACACAAAACTGTTTACCTCTCTGAAATCAATAAATGGTTGAGCCAATAAAGCTTCCATTAGCCTAACTACAGCTACATAAATAGAAGGTTTAAGGGATGTATTAGAAACTGGACACAACGGCCTGCTTTGTGTGTAAATTCTCAGCAAAAAGAGGCTCTACCTGCCCTCTCGGAGGTGTTAGAGCATTACACATTAAAAGGACTTTCCAGACATGCTAGCTCAGCGACAGCTAGCAAAAGAAACCCTCCTCTGTGTGCCTCTGAAGTACACGCAGAGCTGCCACGTATACACACACCGAAAAGTCTTATATCCAGGCTTTACAAGCAAGCTTTCAACAGTGGGTAGTCCGTTTTAAAATGGAACATTATTTTCTCTCAAAATATACCAAGTTTTTTATTTACTCTAGAGGGAAGCATTCAGAGCTGTAAAATAATACTGTAATCTAGATTACTGGTCAGGGAGTCTGAAAAACTATGTGCTGCATAAAGTCGATCTAATTTAAAAGGGTATCTATATTTTGTCAAGTCTGCATATGCATGAGGGTGAGGGAGAAGAGCAAGAGGAAACCGGTTTTACAATTAAAGAACTTTGACAGGGCTTTGAAAAAGGTAGAGGATGGAAGAATTATCTGGGAAAAGTTCGTGAGCCAGAGAGAAGATGATGAGGTAAAAGGATGTACGTTGCAAGGAAGAAAGGCCAAATCTGAATTCTGGCTGTAAAGCAGAATAACAGATGGCAAATGATACAAGATTGTGCTAAGATACATGGAAAAGGTGGCATGAGAATGCTAGAGTTCTGAAGCCACAGACCCGATTCCAGCAGCATCGCAGGTGATGACAGTACACAGAAAAAACAAAAAAAAAAAATCGTTTTGGATAAGCATTTAAAGC